CTGTGTGTGTGCGTGTGCGTTCGTGTCTGATTTAACGTGAGTAGGTAGGAATGGAAGTGTATTAATGAATATATATATTATAGTTGTTAGCGACTTTGTTTTTTCAGCTGTGGATGTTATTGTTTTATTAGGTTGTTTGTGATGTGTTCGCGCATACATTTTATACCATTTTGGTCACGTATAGTTATTTAACATTCCGGTTGCGCTTGTATACGTATAAGTTCATCGAAGTATGACAGCTATATTTATGTGCATAGATAGGTGTCTCATTTAACTGTACTCCCATCGTACGTTCGTGTATAGTTGTTATCTAGTCTGAGGATATAGCTATGCAAATTGTAACGATGTAATGCTAAAAAGTTGTTTATATCTTAATACATTTTTACTTCGGCATGGGCCAGTGCTTTCGGGCGCCTTTATTTTTATTACTATCCTTGAATGCTATATTAACCATACACATGCAAACTGCATATACTGAATTCTGTGACCAACCGTATGCTGCAGGGTACAATCATGAAACCAAAAGATAGGTGTAAAACCTGCAGTGGCAAGAAGACAACTAGTGAAAGAAAACTATTCGAAGTGCACGTAGATAGAGGCATGAGAGACGGGGAGAAGGTGGTGTTTGAGGGAGAGGCCGATCAGGTATGCTACCGCATGTAAATTTCATCTTTGTCTATTGAGAAGTATGTGGTTGCTCATGTACTTAATTATATATCTATATCTATTTCTATATCTATATTTCTATCTATATATTCATCTATATATTCTTCTATATATATATCTATATCTATCTATCTATATATATATCTATGTATGTATGTATGTGTGTGTGTGTGTGTGTGTGTATGTAGGTATGTATGTATTAATATATATTTATATATATATATATATGATTTATATATTTATATGGATATACTATTTTGTGTTATATATATATATGGATATATGGACATATGGATATATTTATATAACATATATTTATATATATCAGTAAAAGATTTATCGTTTTAGTCTCTTCATTACTTTATTTGGAGAGAATGTGTGATGTTGATCCAAAAAGGATGGGTCGTTTTTGCGTATATATAGGCCATAGAAAATTATCAGAAGGCTTTGAAAAGCCCTTTGTTCGGGAGTAATTTATCTGTCCAACACAATGACGCCACATACCGTTGACAGGTCACTGGGTAACCTTGAACGTTATTGAAATTTATGGATCAGTTTTCAACGTGCCTATTTATGTTTGTATGTATGGATGGATGGATGTATATATATATATATATATATATGTCTGTATGTATATTTATATATATATATATATATATATATGTATGTATATATGTTATATATATATATATATATATATATAAATTTAAATTTAAATTTAAATTTTTTCTAATATTGATGGAAATGATATACATATATATGTATATATATATATATATATCATTTCCAGCAATATTGATAAATTTCAAATTTATGTATATATATATTTATATAAATGTATAAAGGAATTTTTTCAATATTGATGGACATGATATATATAAATATATACATATGAAATATATATATATTATATACATATATATATATATATTATATACATATATATATATATATGTATATATGTATATATATATATATATATATATAGTTATCTATATATACCGATGTGAAATCACGAAATCCGAGCTAAACCTGTCGTCTCGGACGACTATTAACTACCATAGGAACCAGACATCCCAAGCGGCGATGTGGTTGTGATCCTGCGAGAGAAGCCGCACGAGGTGTTCCAGCGCAAAGACCTGCACCTCGTGATGAAGATGAAGATAACCCTATTGGAGGCCCTGTGTGGGTTTGTAAAGCCCGTGACACAGTTAGACGGGCGTGTGCTGCACGTGACAGCGTTACCCGGTATGGTGGTGGCAGACGATAAGCTCATGACTATTAAGGGCGAGGGAATGCCACAGATCAGACACCCGGAACTCAAGGGGGATTTAATCATCCAGTTTGACGTACAATACCCCGAGAGGCTGGATGAGGCACAGCGTGCGTTGATTGAGAAGGTCTGTATAGGTCGAGTGTTTTGAATATAATTGTATGATATATAGATATATATATATATATCTATCTATATATATATATATATATATATATATATATATATATATATATATATATATGTGTGTGTGTGTGTCTATTTATCTATATATATTATTATATATATACATAGGATGCATATATACATATATAGATGTTATAAAACGCTTTATCTTTCATCTTCGCCACAATTCTCCTACACTTGCATTGTCCGTATCAATACTGGTATTTATGTTATCTTTCGAATATGTTTACCTATTCTCATGTTCCTCCGAAATACATTACATTGACTTGTTAACGCTTTCAACTATTCTACAGGCTTTAGGTCCGTTGCCTGACTCCATTATGGAAACGGACGTCTCAGAAACCGTATTTCTGGAAGAATTCGACCCGAATACCACAGACTTCTCACAGCAAGTCGATGAGGATGATGATCCTCGAATGCATGGAGGCCCCGGTGTACAATGCCAAAATCAATGATTAAAGAAGACCTTGTAAACAATCAATGGCAAAGATAAAATTGTTGAAAGAACATTTGTATTCTATAAATATGCCGTCCGAGTTGTAATTGTTAGGTCAAAGTTAAATATAATTGTTGGATTAAAGTTATAATTGTGGTGAAGAAACTGATTTCAAAACAACAGTGTTGACGCTACAGCTGTTGAAAGGACCTGTTCATATTCAACATTGAGATTGGTGAGAGGGCTTATTAGTAATCAGTCTCAAATTCACTTGGGTTGAACTATCTGAGCGAGTGTCCACGTCGTCTACAGTGTATTCCACACACTACCAGAAACACCTATCCCTGAATAAACCTACCAGAATCACCCATCTTGAATAAACCCACCAGATTCGCCTACCCTCGAATAAACCCACCACAATCACCTATTCTTGAATAAACCCACCAGATTCACCTACCCTTGGATAAACCTACCAGAATCACCTATCCTTGAACAAACCTACCAGAATCACGTATCGTTGAATAAACCTACCAGAATCACCTACCTTTGAATAAACCTACCAGAATCACCTACCCTTGAATAAACCTACCAGAATCACCTATTCTTGAATAAACCTACCAGAATCTCACCCATCTTGAATAAACCCACCAGATTCACCTACCCTTGAATAAACCTACCAAAACCACCTATCCTTGAACAAACCTACCATAATCACCTATTCTTGAATAAACCTACCAGAATCACCCATCTTGAATAAACCCACCAGAATCACCCATCTTGAATAAACCCACCAGAATCACCCATCTTGAATAAACCCACTAGATTCACCTATCCTTGAATAAACCTATGTGCGCCGGGATGGCAGAAGGACCGTTGTTATGAAGCAACTTGAGTTGATCTTTGCGCGCTAAGGGGTTCTGTTCCGGCCGAGGCCCATCTGTCGCTTTAAATGTTTGTACATGGAAGCTAAAAGGACATAGCCCAGTGTTATCGGGATGCGCCACCTTTGTGTGTGTGTATGTGTGTGGCAATGGATGAGAAAAATGGTGTATGCCGAAGTAGGACCCCCATGCGACAGTCCATAGAACAACTCGTAACACTGAGATATATTAACTGGTTTGATGGGTGTGCGCTATGGGTGTCTGTATACATTGGGCCACAGTTGTTATTCTATATATTTGTACGCGCGTACTATACGAGCAGCTTGGTCCGTTGCGCAGCCCAATACAGAGGTACGTTTCGAATGCGGCGGTCGGGTGGTTGAGTTTGGCTGACCGCTGATGTGAAGTGGGTTGAACGCTCCACTCGACGTCAAGCAGTCTGTGCTGAAGTGAGCTGGCCTAATGGCAGAGTGCACAGGCTTGTGTTTATATCGAGTTTTTCCACTTTTTACCTAAAACCCGTGCAAGCCCGTGGTAATAATAAACCGGTATGCAGTGACACAGGTGTGTGTAAACATCGCGTCAGACTTGTTATTTACATGTTTGCAAAAAAACCCGTACAGGCCGGCGAGAATAATAAACCAGCATGCACTACTTTAACACGAAGTAAACTAGTCTCTGATAGTAGCACGCGCGGGTGTCGACATGAGTTACCGTTTACACGTTTGTAAGTGCGTAAACTCTCGTAAATCCCATATTGGGTTAAATTATAAAATCAATACATCCTCTCAAATGCAGCCCGAGCCATAGGACACTAACTAACATCTGCATCAACTCCAGTGACACCTACCAATCAATCTAACTCCCCCTGACTTGCATACAGCAGGTATGGTGCATATATATACATATATGTATATACATATAACGACAAGTATGTAGCATCGGTAATCGGGTTGCAAAGTGGACGATATTCTATGCTGTGCAGAGGATAAGAACATGCATCTACCGGTTCATAGGCACTCATAGTGAGACCAAATTACCTATCAATCCTTTATGCCCTCCGACCTTTATATAACCAGTAGTACGTAGTATTAGATTAGCAGAGAGTGGACTAAGTTAGTGTAGAGCATGAGACCATGTGTCTACCGTAGTGAATAGGCCCCCTAAATAATGAGACCCAAGTTCTGATACCTACCAAATCAACCCTAAACCCCCTCCCCATTTTTAAACAACTAGTATGGTAGTATCGGGTTAGCAAAATGAACGAAGCTATTGTGCAGATAATCAGAACAGGTATCTACCATAGTAAATGGGCTCTCGAATGAGATGGGAACTATACAGCCAGCAAACCGGTACAGCGGCTGCAATGAACTGATCAATGCATTGAAGGCAGGTAGTTGCTACGTAGTCAGACGAATGACTGACTACAAGCAAGGTCTTCAGCACTGGCCAAGCGCTACCAGTAGTGAAACGAATGAATGCATGTCACGAACAAACTTTGACATGAAGGTAGGAGTATACTTGGATAAGTATTCAATTGGGTGTGCGTACAATACTGCACCCCGAAGAATGTACCATGAACTTTGTCTACCTGCGAAACGCAAGTTTAATGTGTATATGCCGACATATATGGGATGTGAGTACAGCCCTTTTTGCCTCACACCCAGAGACCAAGTCCAAGACCACCAAAATTAGTGCAGGCGCACCCACACCCCCACACTAAAATAGTGCGGAGTTTCCCCATTAATTCAGTTCGGATTTGCATCCGCTGAATTAGTTCAAAAAGGTTCCCCACTAACCGAGTTACATGGTGCCCATGCGTGTCTTAATCTCAGCGATGGCCCTTCCTGGGTTCAGTCCTTTAGGACAGGTGCGGGTGCAGTTCATGATGGTGTGGCAACGGTACAGCGACATCTTGTCTTCCAGGCGGTTCAGGCGCTCCTTGGTTTTCTGATCCTGAGGTAGGTAAGAATATACGCATGGGAGGGTGTGAGGGTGTGTATCGTACATGGACTCATATACCATAAACAATGGATCCTCAGTCGGTAGATAGGGATGCACTTTGGCCCGCTGTACACGAACTGACACAAACGCATGCGCACAGATATACACATATATATTCCCCTCTATACCTATATATATATAAATAACTAGTGTAAACATACAGTTATATACACCCCTCTACACACACATATATATAACCTATATATATATAGTGTAAACATACAGCTATGTATGTATGCAGTACTTACTCTGCTATCGATGATCCATCTGTAAGACTGCATCAGCACGGCAGGGCCCAGGTATGTATCGGAATTCCACCAGTATGATGGACACGATGTGGAGCAACACGCGCAAAGGATGCACTCGTAGAGCCCATCTGTCAATGCATCGCAGAGGGTAAACAATACATCAGCCATCAAACTATACTAGGCCACAAGCCTTGGTGGGCAAAATGTACCAAACAAGATAATAGAAACCAGGTTTATATGCTTTAAAACAGGTTCAGATGTTTTGAAACAGGTTGGGAGACATGTGGGCGATAGCAATCACAGGATGCACTCCAGACACGTCTATCTGTATGCTCTAATACAAGATGATGACAATAAACCAAACGCAAGGTTGATATGTATAGAGTCAAATGGAACATGTACTTCAAAGCTGAACTTACAATAAATACCAGTATATATATAGAGGTATATGCATATGTATGGTAGTAAAAGAATGAATGTATATGCGAATATAAGTAAATAAAACTGGCAGTCTCACAATCAACACACGGCAATACAATACGCGTGGTGCTGATATATATATATATATCATGTATATCAAATCATATACACGTATACGATATATTCGATGCAGATAATTAAAATCCTACATGAACTGAATAAAAAATACGCAATATGACCGCATTCGTACGCAGCTTCGATTGAATTTCCCCAGAAGGCCTGAAACTACGTATAGAAACACGATTGTAGGCATACTACACTTGTAGATTGGCCGAGAAGCTTTAAGTATATATATATATATATATATACCGAGAGTATACAAATACACATTATAAACTCACAATATACCTACATACATTTGTACACGCGTACACACTTGGGCACAGGATAGGCATCGAGCATAGCAGAATCTTCGTTAGCCTACAAAGTACCACTCACAGCAGTGGTTCAGCCTTCCGTAGGCACGATTCCGCACTCTTATACTGGTCACGAAAGTTCAGCACATTTATTCTAAATGAAAACATCTCCGAACAAATACATTCGTGTGGCATTACAGATTTATATATATATATATATTATACTTGCTTACATACCTACCTCAAAAGCCCTTATAAACTCTGATACATACACTCTTATAGCCATACACAAGTATACAAAATATATCCTATACTTGCTTGCATACCTACCTCAGAAGCTCTTATAATCTCAGATACATGCACTCTTATCGCCATACACAAGTATACACAATATATCCTACACTTGCTTACACACCTAGCTTGGCACGGTCCTCCTTAGTCTGCAAGGTCTCGACCTTCGACAGCGGCTCAGCCTTCTGCAGGTACGGTTCCACACTCTTGTATTGGTCGTAGAAGTTCTGCATATCCGGCACCAGATCCTTAACCACGTACATGTGGGGCAGAGGGTAAATCTTCATGGCTTTGTTCGCGTCTCCATTGGCACGCAGACAAGCGAGTGTGTTGGTGCCGTCGATGTTCATAGAGCATGATCCGCAGATACCCTCGCTGTGGAAGGGGTAAACCAAGAGATGGGTGAATAAACCAGGTATATCGTGAATAGGTGAATAAACCAGAGATACGTGAATAAATCAGATGTGTCTATGAACTAGGCACCAGAGAAAGGCATAGGCCAATGAACCGAAGCAAGATGAATAAATTAGAAGATAAGTGCCAGAGCATACGGATAAACCAGATATAAGTGATTAAACCAGAAATATAAAAGATACCAGATATGCGAATAAATTAGGCACCAAAAGTAAGCGAATTAACCAGAAAGAGGTGGATAAACTAGAAGATACGAGACAAAGCATGCGAACAAACCAGAGATATGTGAATAAGCCATGCGTATAACCCAATACTTGCGAATAGTCTGAGATATGAGAATGAAGCATTCATCCGGATACTACGCGCTAATAAGCAGTGTGATTCGCCTATAAACTCTCAGGAGTGAGTACCCATAGCAACCTGTGATAGGGTCTGTTTCACACACACCGTAACCATGTACAACACGCTACACTTGCCCTCGAGATTTCGTGCGCTATAGTACTTATAGTGGACACACTATACACATGTCCAGATCTATATGGACGACATTTCTACTACTAGAGATACATAGACATTCCTGTACTGGGTGACTTCTACTACTTGCACTTGTGATTGGATGTGGCGAGGGTATGACCCATCAGCGAACATTGATAAACAGACCAAATAACACTGCTAGGGACACTGATTTATTTGTTCGCAATAACGGATTTCAAATAGCGATACATTAAGAACCCCGACATTGGCAAATCTATACTTAAGGTAGAGAAACTTATTTATAGGTAGACATATATGGTGTAGGTATAGTCATATACATATATTACGCATTAGAACTTGCAAACATGTATAACATATACTACATGAGGCGTAAGATGCATATCATATACATACATACATATATGTATATATAAATAAATATATATATATAGATATATAGATATATATACGTATACATATATAAAAGAATAGATGAAAACTATGCGGTCGGCCAACCAGCCAAACACTAACCAAGCAAAGTTGTCAATCAATTGATAAACAGCAACTTGTATCACACGGAGTCAGCTGAGGTCAACGATGCCAGAAAGTAGATTTATATGTATATAAATACTTGGAAACACATACTCATATCAAAATATTCACAGATCTATACATATAGATATGAAAATACATGCATACACAGTGTAAATAAAATTCATACACATACACAGGCATATATATATATTCATACAAATATATATACATATATAAACAAAATTAAGAATATATAAGCGTATAAATATATAATTATATATATATATAATATAGAGTATATATACAGATAAAACATATACATATATTAGAAACATAGATATACATTCATGCATACCCATATCCATTACCATATATTTATATATAAATATCATATATCGTCAATTATTAAAAAAATGTTGCGGACTGCAGACGGATAAAACTATAATAGTACCCGCGACATTTATGATATATAAAAAGAACGAACTTGTTTCATGTAGCACTCGTACAATATACAGTTTTCACCCGCTTGCTACTGAGGTTCATCCAATACGTGTGCGAGAGAGACTGATAGTGCCTAACAACACAGCACCCCTTGTTGTGTACAAAAATAACCCCAGCGCCATTAAACGTGCATAAGATGCCAAGCAGAAGGTTAAATACCTATAAGAATTAGTAAACATATAAATATACAATACGTATTGATAACACATATCAACGACGAATACCAACAAAGCAACCACCGACAGTGAGTGTCGGAAGGTAAGCGTAGAATCCGTTGTTGATAGTTTTAAGACGCACATGAGCAAGTGATGTTTTGAAGACGTAAAAGCATTCGAAACATTTACATAGAAAGATATAAATAGGGGTACTTACCGACAAGAGCGACGGAAAGTAAGTGTGGAATCCTGCTCGTTTTTAATCTTCAGTAGAGAATCCAACACCATGGGACCACATTCGTTCATGTTCACCTTGTATTCCTGCATTCTAGGCTTATCTCCTGCTAGCTCAGGATCCCATCTGTAGATCTTGAAGGTCTTGAACTTGGGAGCAGGTGTTTCCTCGGCTGGCTCAGCCATAGCACTCTTCATGCGCAGAGATACAGTAGACGCACCCATGCGAGCGTGCACGGGGCCGCGTAGGAGGTTCATACGTAGAGCCTGCATTTTGAATACTTATTTAATGGCAACTTTATAGTAGTGTGTGTTTTCGGTTATATGTATATAATATACGTGCGGAAAGCGGTCACTGCCACTGTTCACACACCACAAAAGTCGTGAATGAGAAGATACTACCCCTTGAATGTACTGTCCATGCATCAGATATACTGAGATATTTATTTTCAATAGAGCACTTTCGTGAAACTATTTCCGAGAGGCCGACGGCCACCTTCGAAAATTCGATTTCATGCGATGAATGGCCGAATGTGTCCTTAGTGGTGGTCCTATTTGTACAATTGTAATAAAGCCCTCCAAAAATTGGCATTTTTCGGCTCAGAACTGGGGTACAAACCTGATTCGCCAAAATATGTCTCAAATGTATCAATTAATGAAATTGGAATATTTTATTTTTAGGGTTTTAGTTCTGTAGGTACAGTACTGTATTGTAAAATTAGGACCTGGTTTGAGATCTACCCCAAAAAAATGACACTTAAATATTTGTTTTCGGAAATTAATGCTGATAACTATACTTTCTGAATACACCTGTACCAGTGGACTAAAGGTCCACCCATCAGATTTCGGCAATAATTGCTGAAAATCGTACTGTCCCAAACCTTAAAAAATGGGCTGGGCCTTTTATGGGCATATTTTTAAATCTGCTCTGGAACCTGCCCTGCTCGGCGGTTGGGCCCTGGTCAGAATCATCAGCAAATAGAGCATTATTAAAACAACAGATGGGGTATGTAGTCCAGATGTAGCTATCTCGCTTCATAATCGAGTATCTACGTCTAAAGATGTATATGAATTCTGCCATTCCATTGACCTCGACCTCCACTATTTGAGGGGTCCCGTGCCTTTTCCAGTACTCTATCCCTCTCCAACTTGCGTTAACCTCGTGAACCCATACAAAAAGATATCAAATATAACACGAATTTATTTTAACTACTATTAAACCGAGTCGGTATGCGTTTGCTTGCGTTCGCTTACGGAAACACATGAAAAACTACCACAAGACAAATTAAAGTAAGAAAAATGAAGTTTAAACCTTGAACTCGAATATCCTGTGAATACTGTAAGCACCCCGCTAAAAGGTAGAGTGATATACCATGCTATTTGTGTATGACAAACTATACTAGTAATAGTGGGCACAGATATAGCTGGATAGAGTAAAGGGGTGTATACTAAGATTCAACCAAGATGCCTTCCTCTAGTGTGCACGTCTGTGAGTGTATGAGTGCAGATTTGCGAGTGCAAACAGTATAAATTTAGAGTCAGGTGTTAAAATATATGTACGGAGAGTATCGCTACAACTCTCAAGAGGAGTAGAATAGGGGATGGGTCTTATTATTGTTATTTCTACTTGATTCATGAGCTTGCTGCATATTTTCTACACTTGCATATGTCGCGTTTCAGCTTGGCTTGTCAAAATCTGACAGGTTTTAATAGCAGATGCTGTAGTGGAGGCGAACCTATGTCGTCAACCAGATCAATATTGGCCCCTGCCCGATCTCTTAGCCGAATAATACAGAGTTTAAAGTATATTGATACACAGAATGTGCTGTACTGTTTAACAATGGATTTGAATACAGCGTATATTCGAGATATGTGCATTTGAAAATTTTAAATGAAATAAGTAACCTCAAGCATAGCTGTATTTTTAGAGGGCTATGTCACAATCAAGCAGCAATAGGCTATAAAATAACAAGTCTGACAGTCTGACATTACCTAGAAACTCGCCCAGTTGTGTGCAATTTTTTTCGCCTCCTTTATATTGGGGTTATTTTAGGTCTTGCGATACACACGCTCATAATTGTGCCGTAGGACCTTGTCATGATATATCATAAATGATAATATACTATCAATTGAACGTTCATCAGCACTTTATCGATGGTTCAAGCCTTACATGCGTATACAAATGTGGTCGAGGTCATATATGTGAGGCGCACGACCTACTATCATATATACACATTAAGTCCGAATGCGTACTGTGACCATTCAAAAAACTTGATACTCTCTACTACTCTCTAGTCTCTACTATTTAGAGTGTAGTATAGTGCAGAACAATTTACTATAGTATTGTGCAGAACTATTTACTATCTTTTACAAAAACATATAATACACACAAACAAAAATATTGACTGTGTCGTTACTGTCGTCGACTCGTCGCGAACGAAAATACACCTGTTTACATATCAGCACTTGTGAATGCTTTTATGTGCGAGATTACGTAAAATCCGTGGCGGGTATACCGGCCTCAGCAAATCTCATGCGATTTTAACCTTTTATAACAGTTCAGAACTTCAGCCCGCATATGTACATACGTGTGTAAAGACTTTTGTTTGTTGCTTTTAAAAAAAACAAAAACAAAAGCTTCGATATTCAACGATTATATAAAATATAAGTGTTGGAGAAAGTATCTAACCTATTTTGAACAATAATTGGACTAAATGGGATTGCATCTGTTATATATTGCATCTCGAAACTCAAATATTGCACCTTTATCCAATAAAATTGTGAGAGTATGAACTTATTAACGTTTATTACAAGAAACGTAGTGTGAGAGAGCCACTGTGTGGCGTGCTCACTCTACTACTAGAGAGTAGGCTAAGGGCCTGATAGGGTTGGAGGCCCTCACACTCACAGGCTCACACTGAAGTCTGGTGTTACCTCCACTCACCCCGGCTGTGTCATGTGTGCGTCGTGTGATGACTTTTACGTCATACACTGTGAGACTGTGAGACTGTGAGACTGTGAGACTGTGAGACTGTGAGA